GATCTTCTGCCGGACTGAATCCTAATTGGGGAGAGTCAGAAACTCTCAAATTTTGCTAACATATTAAGGAATTAGAAAGGAAGGGGGAAGCAACTGTAAGACTAGGCAAAAGAAGGAAAGCTTAAATTATGAGAAGTGATTGTGAATCAGTTGAATTTCTATCTGCATGTTTGCTATAGTGGAAGAAACACAAATAAAGCTTTGTCTTGAAGAGATGCATCAGGGAGATGCAGCTCTTTCTACTGCCTGGGGAAGTAGCGCCTGTTAAATGTCTGCCTGTTCACATCCCTCCCAGAACCATGATCAAGTGGGAAGAACAAACAATTGGGGAATAGGAAGCTCACTTGTAAAAACACAACAGTCAATATCTTCATAAAATCGCATAGCCCAGAATCTGAGATGCCTAAAATGGCTGTTTTCTTGGATTTTGATCCCTAACCGGAAACTAGAATAAATGTAAACTTTTTAAAAAAACAAAAGATTTTCTCTTATTGATGTGCAATAGCGTTGGCCATCTTAAAATGATAGTATGTTCAGAAATCCACAGCATCTGCTCATAGTTTTTGTTTTCATTGGTAAATTCATTTCCCCAGGGCTGCAGTTGTGAGGGACAGACTCAAAAAAACCTCCTTTTCCTAATTCATTATGCGTAAATAGGAAATGTATAGATTTCACCAACTAAATCTAGAATTTACATGGACTCTCACCCAAATGGATCTCTGTCTGGTAAATTTGGTCACTGCTCCTCCTGAAGCCCTTTCCACACTCCACAAATTTATATGGCTTTTCCCCCATGTGGATCCTTTTATGGAAAGTAAGGGAACGACACCGACTGAAGCTCTTTCCACACTCCACACATTTATATGCCTTCTCCCCCATGTGGGTCCTTTTATGGGAAGTAAGGGAACCACTATGATTGAAGTTTATTCCACACTCCACACATTTATATGCCTTCTCCCCTGTGTGAATCCTTTTATGTCTCATAAGGGATGCATTGTCACAAAAGCCCTTTCCACACTCCATGCATTTATATGGCTTCTCCCCTGTGGTGGTCCCGGTATTGGGAGGAACTTGACTGCTTTTTTCTAAGGTC